ACACACTCTCACACACACACACACACACACACACACACACACACACACACTCTCTCACACACACACACACACTGATCACACTGAATCTTTGTTTTATTTCCATCACTTCTTACAGTGCAGATGAAGCTCCGGTGTGTGTTTAAGGTTCACCTCACTCAACAAATGTTTAGGCCTAATATTAAAGATGCATTATAATTGCTTATAATATTTCCATCCTTTTGGATTACACCGCTTTATGAAAATAATAAACTTAATATGATGCATATTTGTCAGTTGTACAATAAAACAAGTGAGAATGAGATTTGTGTATTAGTACTAATAAACTGCATGCGTTTTAAATCTAAATAACCAGGTTTGTTTATTTATCATCTGATCAATTAATTCAAGCCAATTTTTTTATTAGTTAATTAGTGATTTTAACTAATTGAATCTTGCTTGCTCTTGAACTAGCCGTATTTAAATCTTGTTCATAGTTTTTAACTGATTAACTAAAGCTGAAACTAAAATTAAAACCATAGGAAACATTTTCATTAGTTAAAATAAAATAAATATAAACTTTTTATTTCAGCTAGTTGCCAAGGCAACATTTCTCATTTTAATTTAATGTACTAAAACAACTCAAACTAAATCTGAAATAAAAATTAATTAAAAAAAACTATATAGACATATATAAAAAAACACTAAAAATGACAAAAACAAACCTTTAAAAGGAAAATTGAAAATATAAAAATAAAAACAGATTCAGAATAATAATAAAAACTATAATATCTCGATGATACTAAAATAACACTTATTTTTAATTTTCACAATTAACAAGTTAATGCTGATTCTAAGAAATTTTATTAAATGTTTTATTTAAATAAAAATAATATTTAAATATTATTTTTTTTTTAATATGTCTATATACTTTTTTATTATTAATTGTAATTTCAGTTTTAGTTATTTTAGTAGAAGTTAAAGCGTTTTATATTTTATTCACACTTTAATTTATTTCAAGTAACGAGCATTTATTTAATTTATTTATGGTTTTAGTTGTAGTTAACTGTAATAACCCAGTGTGCAGCTGCTCTGTGTGTGCTGAGGTTCTCTGTGTGTTCAGTTTGTACGCAGCTGCTGGTGTCCAGACCGGACGAGGAGAACATCAGCTGTTACCTGCAGCTCATAGAGAAATGTCTGACACACGAGGTGAGACGCGCGCGTGTCAGACCGTCTCGTGTTGATGTTGTCGTTGTCTAGTAAGGCTCATCGTGAGTGTGTGTTTGTCAGGCGTTTACAGAGACGCAGAAGAAGCGGCTGTTGTCATGGAAACAGCAGGTGCTGAAGTTGCTCCGCCTCTTCCCGCGGAAGACCGTGATGGACAGCGGTGTTTACCGGAGAGGGTGCGTGTCTAACGATCGGCTCGTGTGTCTCTCTGTCCGCCGCGTTCATCCTCACCAATGGCTCCGTGTGTTTGTGCAGCTGGCAGCAGTACGGATCCAACTCTCTGCCCACAGCTGGATCTGTGAGCGCAGGTTTGGGCCGCCGGGGCCAGAGGCCCTTCCAGATGCCCCCGCGAGGAGCTCCTCCAGCCGGACGCATGGGGCTGATGAGCAGCGGTCTGACCGGGGCATCGCCGCGACACACGCTCGCTAACCCAACCGCCGTCAGCGCACAGGGCCGACAGGTCAGAGACGCACGCCACACTGACCTCAGCACTCTGCAGACATACCTGTTTTGGAATGGAGCAGTTTATTGAAACTTTACACAAAATATTGCACGTGTGTTTTTTATTGAGTATCATATAGACTTAACTATATACTTAACTTAACCTTCAATACCACGACTGAGGTGCCCTTGAGCAAGGCACCGAACCCCCGACTGCTCCCCGGGCGCCGCAGCATAAATGGCTGCCCACTGCTCTGGGTGTGTGTTCACGGTGTGTGTGTTCACTGCTGTGTGTGTGCACTTAGGATGGGTTAAATGCAGAGCACTAATTCCTAGTATGGGTAACCATACTTGGCCACATGTCACGTCACTTCACGTCACGTCACAACTAGTGAGAATGTGAAGGAAAAAAACAGCTCAGTTTTACTCAGAGACTCAAACTGAGCAAAAATATGAATTTGCTGCAGATGCTGATATTAATCTGATGAAATTCTGATCTAAATCAGTGAGATCTTTATAACAGTAGAGCAGATACTGACATAAAATGATCTGAATATCAGTCGTGGCTCTATATCTCCAGTAATAAGATGAGATTGAAATGCTCCAAACATATAATGCAGTGATTGAGAGCTGAAGAAATAAAGGCTCCTCAGAAGATGTGAGATGTTCTGGAGGCTTGTGAAGATCATTCCTCCGCTGAGGAACAGTGAAAGTAAAGCTTCTGGAAACAAACGCTCCTCAAAAGATCCTGAGGATCAGATTTGAGACTCTAAAACATGATTGATGGAGAATCAAGTAAAGCCGAGCTGCTTCAGTCCAGTAAGTGTTCATCTGGAGATATTACTGCAGTTATTCTGACGCTTACTTGATCAAAACCAGTCAAGATTTGACACGAGAAGCTCCAGCTGAAGCTGGACGTTTCTACAATTACACTAAAAGAGCTTTGACTGGATAAAACACTCTAAACTCTCAATCAGAGACAGAACCTGGTTCTCAAGTAGCTGACAGTGGTTGGTGTGATGGTGTGTTTCAGAATCTGTGGTTTGGGAATCTTGGAGGCAGTAACAGCATGCCGAGCCAGAGCAGAAGTTCGGTGCAGAGAACTCATTCACTTCCTGTTCACACGTCTCCTCAGACCATGCTCCTGTTCCAGCAACAAGGTACTTGCTGTTCCTCAGACGCTGCTGTCTGCTTACACTGCTGACTTCGCAAGGACAAAGTCCGTTTTGATGTGAATGTTTATTGTATGCATACAGACGAACACATAGCTTTTCAAACTATAGAAGAAATGGTATGTAAATGTCATGATTATAGTGACTAAAATGATCACAGTATGAGTATTATCACTGTACTGCTAAAATGTGCTGGAAGAAGTACTGATACACACTGAAATAATTTCATCAAGTTTTATGATAAAAATCATCAAACAACAAATAAAAATAGCGGAATAAAATAAATAACATTAACAATGACTGCCAGATTTTAAATGAACAAAGTAGGTTGGGTGACTTACAACATGATCCAACATATTACTAAATGTTCAAATGATACAAATTTTGACAAAAGTTTTATAAAATGATAAAACTCACATTTCAGCCTTTAAAGCGCAATACTAACAATTATGAATTTTGCCGTGCAATGTCTACACACAAAGCCTGGGATTGATCACATACTCTTGTTTTCGTTCCCAGAATGCCAAGTTCCGGGGACGGATCTGGAGATCAACCCCACGCTGGAGTCTCTGTGCCTCAGCATGACAGAGCACGCCTTAGGAGGTACGACCAATCAGAGCTCGCCGTCATCCCGTGCCACGCAATCACAGCGTGCCGACATCCCGTCCCACCCAATCACAGCGTACCGTCATCCCGTCCCACCCAATCACAGCACGCCGTCATCCTACACCACCCAAAAACAGCACGCCGTCATCCTGCACCACCCAGTCACAGCACGCCGTCATCCTGCACCACCCAATCACAGCGTTTTGCCGTGCAATGTCTACACACAAAGCCTGGGATTGATCACATACTCTTGTTTTCGTTCCCAGAATGCCAAGTTCCGGGGACGGATCTGGAGATCAACCCCACGCTGGAGTCTCTGTGCCTCAGCATGACAGAGCACGCCTTAGGAGGTACGACCAATCAGAGCTCGCCGTCATCCCGTGCCACGCAATCACAGCGTGCCGTCATCCCGTCCCACCCAATCACAGCGCGCCGTCATCCCGTCCCCCCAATGACAGCACGCCGTCATCCTGCACCACCCAATCACAGCATGCCGTCATCCCGTCCCACCCAATCACAGCGTACTGTCATCCCGTCCCACCCAATCACAGCGCGCCATCATCCCGTCCCCCCTCACAGCGTGCCGTCATCCCGTCCCACCCAATCACAGCGTGCCGTCATCCCGTCCCACCCAATCACAGCGCGCCGTCATCCCATCCCACCCAATCACAGCACGCCGTCATCCCGTCCCCCCAATCACAGCGCCCCGTCATCCTGCGCCACCCAATCACATTTTTTTATAAAAAGGGGGTTAATGTAGTAAATTTTTGCACATTCGCTCAATAATGAGAAATTACTGATAGTGTTTTAGTTGAAAAATATTATGTTACGACTGTTCTATAAGATCACTTTTTGCCGGGTCAAAATGACCCGGGAATATGAAAGTTAAATATATATTTTTTTATGCATTTTTCCCGTTCTCTCTCCGCAGATGGAATGGACAGAACGTCGACTATATGAGACTCAAGCCGGTGGAAGAACTGAATGAAGACTGCGCTTCTCGCTCCAGTAGCCCAGCACACACACACAAACAACACGAGTCACTACAGACCACACACAACTAACTGTGTATACGTTCTCTAATATTTTTCTACTTTATTGTACTTAACTAAGTTTATTATAAAGGAAATACAGAAACTATTATATTGCGTAAGGGAGAGCAGGACGAGCGTCATTAGCTGGAGGAACGATGGTGCTTCTGGTCTGAGCGAGACCTTCTGCTGAGCCGCGGTCAGTAGCCGTTTACATCCACTTCCTGTGCCCATCTGCCTGCATGAACTCTCACTCCCACGACGGACTTCCTCCTGTGCTTTTCTGTTTAGACGGCAGGTTTAAAGAGTCGCGCCGGAGAGTTTACGCTGTGTTTATCTGTTATGATGCGTTCTTATTTCTGTCCAGGTACAAGAGGTTTCTTAGCACTTATCCGTGAGATGTTTACCAGTCGTCACTACAGCCGTGAGCGTGTCCTGAGTTTGTAAATACGCAGGTATAGGCAAATCAGAATATGACCCGAGAGACTTTATCCAAATGATTTTTATACGCAGATCTATGAAGTAAAGACGCGAGATCGAGCTGTGCTCGTCTGTTGCTCCGCCCCTCCGTGACTGACAGGGACGTCAGCCAATGACAGACTCCGCCTCCTACCGACTGATGCAAAAACCCACCAATCAGATTCCATTTCATCATCGTCGTCGTCAGCTTTGATTTCCTCCTGTCTTCACAGAATCGCAGCGGTGCTTCTAAACGCCAGGTTTCTGTGGATTCATTTGTGGTGTGTTTTCTCTTTGAATGGTAGAGTCTGTGAAAACCCCATTCAGCCTTACGGAGCATCAGAGCGCTGTGTGTGTGTTTTATACGTCTCTCCGACGCTGCTCTATGTCTAGTAAAACTGTATTGACTGAAAAACAGGCTTGTTTGCTTTATTTGTGTAATGATTCAGTCTGTTGCGTCACTGCCATCTGTTTGTAGAGCTGAAACCGCTCGAGAACACGTCCTGCTCGCATTACTCTAAAATCACAAAAATAAATACTTTTCATAAAGAAAAGGAAGCCCGTTTTCTGTAGAAACTTGTTTCTGCCATGGCATAAAAAAATTAAAAGGTAATTGCAACTTTTTATCTCACAATTCTGACTTTTCTCCAGTTTATATCTGAGAACAAAAATCAGAATTGCGATATATAAACTCCTAATTGCTTGCAAGTCTAAATATAAACTGTGAGCCAGACGGATCTTCTGCGTTTGGTTCGGCCGATTCCTGTCGAGATGGGAGCGTGTCTGTGGACGTTCATCCGTCTCAGTCGCTCAGGATCTCATCACACTATGCAACCGCTTCGGTGTTTGTCCTCCATCCCCTTCATTCAGAGCGCAGCACAGTCTCGTGTGCTTACCATCAGTGAGCGAGCGACCAGAGTCAGCAGCTGGAGTCTGGTGTTTTATCTGTGTGTGGAACAGCCTGGCGCTGCTTCACACTGCAGCTCTCTGTCTTAATCGATTGCTTCATTAACGTGGGTCATAACAGGGTCAGGAACCCTTGGAGGAAACTGAACTTCCTCTGCATCCATGTGGGGAAGAGAAGCTTTACTGGAGGGAATCATTCCAAAGATGTGAGCTCTCTGTCCTTCTGTCTTTCTCCCGGTGAGACCTCCGACTGTGAACCTCGGTACAGATGAAAGGTGCTTGGCATGAGATATTATTATTATTATTGTTATTATTAATATTATTATTACTGACATCTGGAGTGATGGGACTTGTGTGTGTTGCTCTGTTTGGTTGAATTCTTCTAATATCTTTGTCATGCTTCTTACCTGAATGGACATCTGAATGGTAATAAATTGTTCATGTTTTGCATTTACTGAAGGCTTCCGCTGATTCTTTTCTTTTTGAATGTTTCTGAGGTGCGATGAGTTTCTTTTCTCCATCTCTAACAGATTCAAACGTCCTGAAAGTATGTAGTCGTCCACTCGTCACTCTCTGGGTTATTCTTCAGTTCTGTACGATGGGAGTCATTTGAGTAGCATTTATGAAGGGTATTATAACCTCACTGAGTCTAGTCATCTGCCAACAGTTTCTCCTCAGGCTGTTTGTCTGTTTAACGACTAACCAGCAGCTGTGTGTGTGTGTGTGTGTGTGTGTGAGAGAGAGAGTGTGTGTGTGTG